TACGGTATAAATATAGTATAATACGTACAGAAAGAGAAAAATTAAATTTTCGTCGAAAAGGAATATTTTGATTGGACGATAAATGAAAAACGGGGACGGATATTCAAGCTAAGCGTATTACATTTGGAACGGAGCAGATACTAATTCCATGGTAGAGGGAGGAGGGAGGGGGGATATGGTAGAAATTCAAACCATATCTCACGCACGATAATGTAGTCGAACAATGCAATAACGTGAAACAACTCGGAACGAGTGGAATAATTCGCAAACAATTCGTCGCAGTAATTGTTCGTCTTGCTGAAGATCGTGAGAAGAGATGAAATTGTGTATCTTATTTCGTATCAACAGCCATACCATGGCTTTCGAACGCGTTTCCTCCTCAACACCGACGATTTTAATATTTTTTTCAATGCAATTACCTTACAATAAGAAAGTCGCATTGAAGTCGAATTGAACGAAGAGCTTTAGGAAGGGATTTGCAAAAGAAAGAAAGAAAAAAAAAGGGGGCAAAAAGAAAGTGAAGAAGGCGAGTTTAGTAGCATGTAAATAAGCGACAAGCAGAAACTACGAGAAGAAAACTGGAATAATACGGGCTATTATGGGAAAATAAGGGCACCATGTTTTCAACAGGCTTTACTCCGTGATCAGGTGCTACTATACCATTCTCGAATCGAGATAATGTGATTCGATATAGAGCCGGTTGCTAGGTAACGTGCAATCAATAGGGAAAACGGAAGATCGAAGACTATGAAAAGTATTTTATATTTCCGATACAAATTCATCGAGTGTGTAATTTATTCGTTAACCAAATTTAGGATATCCATCAAAAACACCACGAGCATTTTTTATCGGACAGCCACAATGGATCTGCGTATATATACTCCGAAACACGCATGAAAAATACTTGCTTTATGAATTCAAATATTAGCATGCATAAAACACGCAAAAGCATTGTTTAACGAACTAACGACGATTATTCCAAGCATACACGCAAAGTTCTTGTAAACAAGAGGATCAAACAGGATTCTTTTTCAAACAGATATAACGCTATTATCTTATTATTACGCAAACTTCGTGCACAGAAATAAAAATATACGTCAAAAATGTAAGTTCATTCGATCGTGCAAAGCGATCTATTCTCTTCGCGAGAATAATTCGATCGGAAGCTATTCGAGAATTAATACTAGCGCGTTAAATTGCTGCTTTGATTGTATACAAATATATACGGTGAGAGAAGAGATGGAAATAAAGAGAGAGAATGAAAAGAGAAAGAGAGAGAGAGAGAGAGAGAGAAAACATAAGGTAAATTAAAAATCGAACAATGAGGGTAGTGGTTGGCAGCCGCAATGACCGGCACCGCGTTTTGATTTCACCGATTCGGACGGTAGTTATGCTTTAACGTGGCGGTACTTAAATAAATTATCAATCGCGTTGAAAGCCACCGGCTCGGCCCCGGGAGAAGCCAGAGAATCAGCGGCAGGAGGTGGAGGCACGAAAGCCGGGGAAGCCAGAAGCGAGGGGACCAACAGAAGTTGAAAGTGAGACGAAGCGTCGAGGGCGATTAAGCAAATATCCAATTTTCCTTTTTTCAACGGGGGCAACGTATGAACGTGCCTCGTTTTATACCGGCTTTTATTTGCGGTACGCCGGGCATTCGACGTTTGTTAAATCGCTATAAGCGGTTCGAGTGGTACCGAGAAGAATATAAATGGCCGCCGAATTGACTCGCGTGTCGGCTGAAGCTGGAGCGCCGCGAGTGGGAAAGTAAATCATAAGGATTCAAGGGTGGGCGTTTTTTTTCCTCCTCCTCTCGAGCGTAATTACAGATCTAAATGATATATTAGCACGGTAATCGAATAGTGGTGGGCAATACTCTGATAAGTGGTTTGGAAATACGCGATAAGTAGCGATATACGATTTTCCATGACGCTTCTTGAATACATATGGGACACGATACTTTCGAAACGGAATGAAAATCCTTAATCGAAATAACTTGGTGGAACGAGTACAATGCAAACACGATAGGAATATAGATGTGAAATAACACGAGAATCGGTTACATCGCTTCACGGAGAACAAGAATCAACTCAATTTTACTTCGTTTTACGACGAATAAAACTCTGCTCAACGCGTTTCAATGAAGATGTATACGCAGTATATAAATATATTTACGTGTATATAGCTATATATGAGAGACATTACGCGAGTAGTAGCTTCTTAATAGTTTGCAACTATCCTCATAATACAAACATTTCAAAGATAGGGCATTGTTGAGATTCAATTCCGAACGAAATCATTGCAACGAGAGATCAAACTTTTGCGAGATACATTATCTCGTCTCCTGATAATCTTCAAGATTATCTC